TGTTTTTTACTTGTCATGTATGTTTTATGAGAACTTAGAGATTCCCCCCCCCCCATTCCTAATCTTAATAGTTAGGACTTAATCTCTCTCTCTTTTTTTTTTTTTTTTCCCAAACTCATCCACTGTTTAGAATTCAAACCTCTCCAAGTGTATGGTCAAGACAAGAACCAACGCCGTCTGGACTGTGACTGATATTCCCAGGAAAAATTAGAGGTCACTACTCCAGGTAGATAATTTAAAAAAATCATCTTCAGATTTTGGGTGGCCTCATATATGCGTAAACATCCCCTCTCCATGTTTTGTAATTCAGCCTGCGATTGAATACAGGTTGCTAGAAACAAGAACACAGAGTTAACTACTGGGCAAACTAGAAAATGGCTCTCAAGTCCTCACCATCTCTGTCACCAGATATCCCTGTCTTACCAACTCCAAAAAGAACAAAATCATGTCACTCACTTATTGTGGATACTTTTTTTTTTTGTAGGTAGGGGCTGTCAAAATTGAAAGCCTGTAACTTAGCAGTCATTTTTTGCTGGGCATATTAATGTCGATTTCTCTGAGAAATCGTCTGGCTTGAAAACTCAGACATGAGTTTCATTTGTGTTAATTAGTACTGATGGTATGTCACACATGACAGGATTCAGCCCTTTCCTGAAATGAACATGTAAACTCAAGACCCTCGCATGTCTGCTTCTTAGTTAGTTTTGGGTATGATAAGAGGCATGGAGAACATCCATAGGACACAGTCCCAAGTGGCCTTTACCTTCTATAAATTGACTATTTGTGATGCTCCATTTGAACTACTTTTTTCCTAAGTGGAGATATTATTTTTGTTTTTCATTCAAGACAGGCTTTGAAGCCTGTCCTGGAACTAGCTCTTGTCGACCAGGCTGGCCTCAAACTCATAGAATCCACCTGCCTCCTGAGTGCTGGGATTAAAGGTGTGTGTCACCACTGCCCAGTAGATACACACACACACACACACACACACACACCCTGAGTGATAATGGAATTCTGCTTTAATTGGATGTTACAACTTTTGGGGTTTGATTAACCATACAGTCTTCTGATTTTTGCCTTCCCTCCATTCTCCAAGCCCCGGTTTCCTGCTTGCTGTGAAGATGCTTGATATAAAGGCTTGGGCTGAGTATGTAGTGGAGTGGGCTGCCAAGGACCCATATGGCTTCCTTACAACAGTCATCTTGGCCCTTACGCCACTGTTCCTAGCCAGTGCTGTACTGTCCTGGAAGCTAGCCAAGATGATTGAAGCCAGAGAGAAGGAGCAGAAGAAGAAACAAAAACGTCAAGAAAACATTGCAAAAGCTAAACGAGTAAAAAAGGACTGAAGGAGTGAACAGACTCTGCAACTAGAGAAACATCATTGGAAAATTCTGCAGCTTTGGGAGGACTCAAGTCGATTTCATGGTAGTCTTATTTAACCTGACCGAATATAAGAGTCATGTTCTGACCTCAGTACTATAGTAACTTTTAGGTCTGGAAGTTTGTTGGAACCCACTGACAAGTATTTAAGTTAGCATTTATCATACAGGTGGAGCATACCTAATGTGAAAATTCAAAACTCGGCACTGTAAAATCTAACACCTGTGTTCAGACATGGTGCCAAGAATGGAAAATCCGACACCCTATTTTGTGATGGGTTGCAGTCAAAATACAGGTGCGCTTAAAATGAAGCCATGAGAAATATAAATTAATCTTGTGTTTAGATTTGGATCCCATCCTCCCATCTAAAATCTGAAAAATAAATAAAACATTACTGGGCATTTTGTCTGCTTAACCTGAAGTAAAAATTCTTTGAGCTGTCATTTGCCTTTTTGGAGCTTATTGCACTCAGGTGAAAACCACCATGTAGAGAAAAATGGTTTTAGACTGAATCCTATTTAAATGGTAGTTTAAAATGGGGTTCAGCTCTGGACAGGATATTAGGAATATAAAAGAATTATCTTCTGAGGTAAAGTTTACTTTGGCTTAAAAGAGATAAAGTATATTAGTCACTATTTTAAAGTCATTGCTTATTTTTTTGGAATGAAAGCATTACTTTCTCAAAGGAAAATTTTATTAATGATTATGGCTATTTGATTATTATGACATTAGCCTTGAACACATCTGGCAATGACCTAAGACATTTCTTCAGTTTAGAAGCTCATGTGGGATTCTCATGATTTTGATCATGGATAGAACTTTTGTACTTCGAACGCTGCCCTTTCCTTAGATGAGTTGCTAAGAAGAGTAATATGTTAAAGCTGGCAGTGAAAATGCCACATGCCTTTGATACCCTGGGTTCTGTTTCCTCTCACACTTAGAGCTGTGATACAGTTAATGTCACCACATACTTTGCTGATCGCATAGACACTACTTTTGTTAACTCTTTTCTAACTAATATGCCCTGTTACATTTTACTCATACAGGTTCTAAGTGAAAATTAAAATCTCAAGTTCATGAAGTCATACTTTAGCCCAATAAAAGTTTAAATTTGGAAAAATTTTCACAGGTATAACAGTGATGGTAGAAACTGCAATAAGAAGGCTGAAGTATAAAGCCAGGGAACTTTCAGTGTAAAACAGACCCGAGACCATTAAACATGCTTTTTCTAAATGCATGGTCCAGTAACTATCCACTGAAGTATTTAACTGCTTATTGTTGTCTGTGCCTCTGCTAATGAATTTTAAGTTATAGTAATTGTCAAATAGTCTTAATAATAAAAGTGAAACTAAATGTTGAAATAAATTTGATACATTTTTATAAAGGTATTGAGGTTTTGTCTTTTTTGTTTGTTTGTTTTTTGAGGCAGAGTTTTCTCTGTGTTACAGCCCTGTGTCCTGAACTCACTCTGTAGACTATGTTGGCCTCAACTCACAGAGCTCCGCCTCTGCCTCTGCTGGGATTAAAGGCATGAGCCACCAAGTGTTTTGAGGGAGAAGTAAATTAAGTTATGTATGTCATTCAGGTTAAGGCTTCAAAATATTATGAATTTTAGTCACAGCTAAATTTGTTAGAAATAGGACAGTGTTTATCAAAAGAAGCCAGTATATTTTGTTAGGGTTGGTGTCCCAGGTACTGAAACCAAAGATACAATAACACAAGTTGCCCACTGAAGCTGAGGTTTCCTTGGTTTTGGTAATTTAAAGGTATGCTTTTCACTAACTGTGGTTTTCTGTAATTTCTCTTAATGTGGCAACTTTGTATTTGATGTAAGCTATTATCTCTCTAGCCTTTTCAGACATTGACAGTGTGCTATTAAGTCTGGGATTCTTCCCACCATTCCATTGATTCTCATTGAGAAGCAGTTACTATAGGAGGAATCTTACTTCTTAGCCATCACACTTTCTGAAAGATATGCCTGCTTGTCATTTCTGAAAACTAAGTGTAGTGGTTAACCCTTTAATGGCTAGAGACAAGCTGTCTGAGGCTGTCCAAGCATTCTGCCAAAATGATGAGGAAATCTGATTCTATTTCAAAGTGATTACCCTTTAATGTCTGCATCTGGATATAGGGTCACTATGGTTTATTACTTCTTATTTGGAATAAATATTTAATGCCAAGCTCTGCATTTTCAAACATAGTAACAGGTGGTTAGATAAAGTTTTAGAAATGAAAATGGAACTTGAACAAGTTTCTTTCCCTCATAATTTCTTGAAGTCTCAGTTGACTTCCATGGTCTGTATATGGCTTTTTTTCAAAGCATATGAACAGTTTGAAAAGTCTGGTTTAAATAAACTCAGGTTATATTTTAAGTAATGTGTTTAATGAAATAGCATTTAAAAGATCAATAAAGTAATAATTGGCTCAAGGTTAATTAAGAAACAAGAGCTTTCTATGTTGATTAAAAATGGCAATGATTATTTCCTTAATTTTTTATTTTGAGATTATAGTTACATTATTTCCCCTTCCCTTTCCTCTCTCTGAACCCTCCCATGCCCCCCAACTCCAACCCTTGCCATCTTTCAAATCCATGGCCTCCTTTGTTACATACATACATACATACATCATTATGTGTGTATGAGTATGTATGTATTCTTACGTACAACGTGCAGTCCATATAGTTACTTCTGTGTCCAATACTTTATATACAGGCACAGCTAGGTTGTATGATTAAACCCTGGAATCAGAAACATCTTTTTGTGCTTTAAAAGTCTGCATAGTGTTAAACCCATCATTGCAGAAGTATCCCGCACACATTTCAGTGGAGGCATAGAAAACGGGAAGAATTTAGCTCTTAAAAGCTGATATTTAAGGTATACCCAATGCTCTTTTGTTACTGTGAACATTTTCACTCTTGAGAGTAAAAACTTAAAATAGGTTTAAGTCTGTCTTGTGAGAGACATAATAAACTTTGAAATGTCTAAAAAATGAAATATGGCGGGCAAGCTATTATTTAATATTTAAATTTCACTTTGAATGCTTAATAGCAAGGTGGTTTTTAACCAATAAGAAGGCAATTGAGGCCTGTCCTGCCAGTCAAAGCAGATGGGTCTCTGGATTTGAGGCCAGTATGGTGAATACAGTGAGACCCTATCTCTAAAACAAAACAGAACCCCAAGACACATGATAATCAGGCCAAAATTATATCTTATTATGTAGGAGACTCAAATGACTGTTTCTACATCACCTATCAGCAAACCTAGTACTTTTAACCAACTTTTATTTGAGTCAGGTTCTATCCACACTTTGTTTTTGAAATTCGAGTGTCCGTCTGTCCGTCCCTTCCCCCCCCCCGGTCTTCCTTTTTAGCAGCTGTGAACACCCACCCCCGTCACATTAGCTGTGGTGGTTCCTTGAACCTGAGAACCATACACACCATACATGTCCTGAGTATCACAGTGGCATGGTAACCCAAGGAGGGAAATGAAGAGTAGATCAAGTGTAGAATTAAATCTAAAAATATTTAGGCTTCTATACGTACAATGTCACATTATACACACATAAGAAATAACTACAAGCTTTACGGAGCACAGGCTACATATTCGGGAAATACAAAGTGATCGCTTTTAATCGATGTTTTATTTGTTAAAAAAAGCCAGGGCCATATAAATGAAGTGACTTTACCATAGTGCACTCATTGATTCTGACGTCTGCCATCTTCTGGCATCCAGGATCCCGGCTGGAAGGTTTTCCCAGTGCTGGTGGGAGCCACAGAGGGTTCTTCCTTTCCAAAGTGTGGAGCAGAGGCATGCCCTTTAATTTGTGTGGCAGCAGATGCTGGCAAGAGCTCCTCACTGGTTCCTTTACTCAGTTTATCTTTCTCGTAAAAATCTCTGCTTTTTATTTTAACTTCTTCTCTGTATTTTTCATTCTTTAGTATTTCCTGCACATACATATAATTGGGAAACATGATTAAAATTTTAGTTTAAATAATTCAAGGATTTTTATGGCAATAGAGTAAATCAAAATATTTAAAAAAAAATACTGCATTACATGTGTAGATTTGATTACATACCAGGGCTGAAATATCCTATGTTTTATGTTACAAGACTGAGGGACCACAGAAAAATGTTTACAATTCAAAAAGCCAAACAAATGTTACATAAGAATCTGAATCAATTCCCAAAATTTTCAGGCTTCACAACTTCTTTCTGCCTTAAGGCTTACCATCAGTTGCTTCTCTACTGCAGAGGAAAATGTATGGGGGTTTCCTAGAGTGCCACTCCAGCCTGCCACTCTTGTGTCCTGGGAATTAACAGTGAATGCTAAATTCCCCTCTAAAGTGCCAACTGTGGTAGCTGGAATGTAACTGGCCCCTATAAGGTCATAGGGAGTGGCTCTATTAGGAGGTGTGGCTTTGTTGCAAGAGGTATGGCCTTGTTGGAGGAAGTGTTGGAGGAAATGTGGGTGTGGGCTTTGAGATCTATATGCTCAAGCCACGCCCAGTGTCTCCTACCATTTTCTGTAGCCTGGGAGTCCAGATATAGGACTTACACCTACTTCGCCAGCACCTTGTCTGCCCGCATGCTTCCTTCCACGACAATATAAACTAAACCTCTGAACCGTAAGCGAGCCAACCACTATGAAATGTTTCCCTCTGTAAGAGTCGCTGTGGTCATGGTGTCTCTTCATAACAATAGAAACCCTAACTAAGACTCCTACCCATTTCTCGTTCCCTAGAGTGTCTAGTGGAGGAGGACAGGAGCAGAGTGTGCACGTCCTAGATGGACGCTAGCTACCGAGAGGCACCTCACTTCTCCTCAGATCACTGCGATTTGCAGTGAGTCCTGCAGCTTTGCCCCGTCGAGGATCTATACTAGAACTCCAATGAATCTTTTATCATTGTGTTCACTGAATACAAGACTGTCATATTCAAGAGCATCGTTACATGTGTCATCCAGAACAGGCAACTAAGTCCTTTGGTTTTAATGCTTGCCCTTGTGGGGTAAGAGGGCAGGATAAGCATCGTTAACGTAACTAGCCAGTGACAAGAAGAAACGAGAGAGCAAGGAAATGGTAAGAAAGACAACTGGAGCTAGAGGGCACAGAGCCAGAAAGGCAGGGAACACCCACATTTCCAGGCCAGCTCCCTGGAAGGGGAGGTGTGAATTAAACTGGGAGAGCGTAGACAGCTCCCCCAACTTCCAAAGGACCAGCAGTTATAGTTACAGGGAAACCCGGGATTCTTAGAAATTTAAATCCTGCACAGGGGCTTAGTCTGAAAGTGACCCCCTCCTCTGCGGCAAACTGGCTTTCAAAAAGAAACCCACCACACAAGTGCTGTAACTGAGTCATCTGGAGAAAAGAGAAGGAAGGGGTCTGCGGCTAAGCCTGACTGATGACAGGAGTTCGAGCCCTGGCCCATAGGACGGAAGGAACGGACTCCTCCTATAAGTTGTCCTCTGAACTCAGCGCGCACACATCCCCACTCACCACTCCTCAATAAATGGATAAATAAATACATGTAACATTAATAATACAAAAACACTTGAATAAAGAGTATGCCACTGAAGAAATCAGGAGGAAGTTAAAAAAAAATCCTGGTGTCAAATAAAATGAGATCATAACACATCAGAGTTTGTAGACTACAAATGAAAGAGTTATATGAGGGAAGTTCATACCATTGAAAGCTTACATTAAAAAGTAAAATGACGCCGGGTAGTGGTGGTGCACACCTTTGATCCCAGCACTCGGGAGGCAGAGGCAGGTGGACCTCTTTGAGTTCAAGACCAGCCTGGTCTACAGAGGGAGTTCCAGGACAGGCTCCAAAGCCACAGAGAAACCTTGTCGTGAAAACAAACAAAAAAGTAAAAAGACAACAGAGCAGATGTTCAAGTAAATAACCTAATGACATATGTCAAAGTGTCTGAAAAAAAAGAAAGAGGACAAATCAACCCCCAAATTAGAGAAAGGAAAGTCTTTCCAAGTGGAAAAGACTAAGAGAAATAGGAAAGGTCAAAGCAGAATGTTGTCTCTAAGGAAAGATTTAAAAGCTGACAAACCCGAGACAAAGTAAGGAAGAGAAGAGAAGACCCAAGTAAAACTGGAGGCAAAAGGTGGCCGCATGGCAACACGTCTCCCGACATTCACAGGACGAGGAGATGTTCTAAAAAGCTATGTGCCAACATATTCCTACAATATACACACACGGAAATCTAGAAGAAACTGACAAATGTTTAGACCCGTATAACCTATTAAAGTTGGATACAATAATGTTGATGAACACAGACATAGAAATTCCTGTGAAATAATCCTCAGTTCCCTCATGCATAAAATGGAGATACGGGCACTATCATTTTCTGAGAGCACACTCCTAATGAAAATGGCTGCTGGGAGGTAATAGTATATAAAAAAAGTTCATGCTGATTTAAAAGACAGTGACTTTATTCCACTGTACTTACACACACACACACTACGTCATACATTCATACACACATACACACACACATACAAAGCCTAGGGTGCATGCATGCTAGGTCAGTGCTCTGCTAAGGGACACATCCCTGCCCTCTCGTTTCTTCAGCAAATCCTAAGGAGTGCGCCACCACACTCTCCCTATTTCTTTTTCAAACAGGGAAAGGTGTTAATATAATCTTCAAATTTCAGACCAAGATGATGCAATTAGTACCACACACACACACACACACACACACACGCACGCACGCACGCACGCACGCACGCACACATGCACGCACGCACCCGCACTCAAACACATACCAGCCGTGACATCTGAAGGTCAGGGGATCAAATGAGGTAATGCCTGAGTCACCTTGTATTTCTGCCTGCATACACATGGGCTGCTAGAACCGAAGCAACGGATAAGCTCAAGTGATAAAGGTAGTTGCTTAGGGCGTACTATCAAGTTCTAGACTGCACAGGGACCCATGTGAATGTCCAGAAGGATATAAGCTGAATATGTATAATATGAGGCTCCACAAGCCAGCCAGGAAGACTTCTGGCCAAGGAATACTGCAGAGCTGCTGGCACTGGATTAGAAGACATTCAAGCTCTACCAGCCAAAGCAACCCCATGAGCACCTGGGGCAATCAGCACTACTGAGGATTCAAAGCAAGCTGGCAGAAGCAGAGTTTACTTCAGAACTGTGCTGTTCACTGTGGTAGCCAGATGTTCTGTGAGGTTAACTTATTTAGAATAAATAAGATTTAGAAAACACAAAGCATTTAATAGCCAAATGGATATAGTGGCTACCACGCTGGAAAAGACAGATACAAAATCTCCATCATTACAGAATCTCTTGTTGAACTATACTATTCTGGAGTTTAGCTAAAAAACAAAACAAAACAAAACAAACAAAAAAAAAACTTAAAAATAATCCTCTAGGACTTTGAGATAATCCACATGCCTATTAATGGTTCTTAGGAACAAAATGCAGTAAAAAGGAAGACAAAATCCACACATTAAATGAAGGAGTGCCTTCACCATGCAACCAAGAAGACAGGAAATTGTGCTTCAAAATCAGCCAATAGCAATAGACCTAGAAATGACTGGCCCAACAAATAAGGACTTTATCACAGCTACCATTAAAATGTAAAGGCCACACGGAGGAAGAATGGAGAAACACACACACACAAAACAAAAACCCAACTGAAAAAACTAGATGTGAAAAATATATAAATAAAGAAAATGAAAACTGGAAAGCTGTTTAGCAGCCGGTCACACACAGCTTAAGACAAGAATCTACAAGCAGAGGAGAATTTACAAACTGAAAAATTTAAAAAGCTCAGGAAATAGAGCCTCAGTGAGGTGTGGGGCAGTAACAAGTTGTAATCAAGAGGGAATCATGACTAAAAATATCCAAAGGGTGCCTAGCGTTAGTGCATGCCTTTACCCAGCGCTCGGGAGGCAGAGGCAGGCGGATCTATGTGAATTTGAGGTCAGCATGGTCTACAGAGCGAGTGCCAGGACAGGCTTCAAAGCTACAGAGAGAAACTCAGCCTCGAAAAACAACAACCAATATCCAAAGGGTTACAAATATAAACCTGCATATCCAGAAGCTCAATAGACCCCCATCAAGGATAATCACAGACCAAAGCACCAAAATCAAACTGATAAAAACTGACAAGAAAAGAAATCCTTCAGAGGGAAGGGGCACATTATTGAGATAAGGAAATAGTACTGAGTCTCATCAGAAACAGTGGTTGCTCTGAGACAAGAGAAAGGATTGCCAACAGAATTCCACAGCCTGTGAAAACGTTCCTCAGTGAAGGGATAAAATAACATTTCTAGGCGAACAGAAGCTCAATTGATCACAAGCAAATCTGTATACAAGAAACATGAGAGCAAACATTTTAGTTAGTAGAAACATCCCATAGACGAGACCCGAAGCCATGCAACAGGATGAACTCACAGGAAAGGGCAAAATGACACAGGGCTTCATTGCAGAGGGACTCACAGGGTTTCTGGACACTTTGCTAGATGTTGGGCATCCTAGAACTCGATGCCCATTCCTTTCAAGTTCGCCACAGATATAAAGGTCATCAGAACACTGTCTAGTGGTTGTTCCTACCACAGCAAGTCCTCAAGTCAGTTCAGGGCGAGCACAGAGGACGGTTAATCCCGTGCGCAGCCCTCAGACTGTCAGCTCCATTCCTCATCACTGTGTCTTAATGCCCAATGAGAAGCAACTGAAGGGAGGAAGTCACACAAAGTGAGGGGATACGGTCCACTGCAGAGAGGAGCCGAGGCTGCAGGGTCATGGAGGCGGGTGTGCAGCCGGGTGCCCCGGGAAGTAGAGGGCATCAGACTATAATGCCAACAAGGCACATTCCTAGCAACTTATTCCCACCTCCATCCTGCCACACCTGTTCTTCCAATACAGCATTACCAGGTAGGGACCTAGTGTGCAAGCACACAAGCCTACTG